CGACGATCAACGGGAGGGCCTTTACCTTTACCTAAAATGTATCTTGTTTTTTTGTAGGAGTACTGCTATTTATTCAGCCACTGATTAGCTGATTGAATTGGGCATGAACTCCACCTTAATTTTTTTAATTTATTTTTCTTTTTATATTTATTTATTAAATCACTGTGGGAAAAGTTACTAAGCTTTCAGGTTTAAGTCTCGATCATACAATGACCAAACACCTTTCCCTTCACCAGTACTCATTTTTCACCACCAAGAACCCCAGTATACCCCCCTCCCACCCCTCCAAATGCCTGTGAGGCAGATGATTTCTACTTAACTCTTCTCTACATTGATTACATTCATTATTTTGACAAAAGATGCACCATTATTGTTTAGAATTTCCCCCCAAACAATCAGAATTGCTGAAAAGGCATTGTGAAATACTTTGTTTTCTATAGCTGGTTACAAGAATCATATAATGTCACGCGGCCATGATTTTGGATTTCTGCAAAGAACCAGATAATTACGAGATTGGTTTCTGTGTGTCTGGTGTTATGGCTGTAGGATAACACTCGTTTGTCCTTCCTCAGGTGTATGATAACACTCTTTTGTCCTTCCTTAGGTAGCTTAGGTTTGTCAGGTCACACCCATCTAAGGACACTGAACTTGTATTGTAAGCAATGTCCTTTCTGTGTGGACACAGGAAGACAGTTAATATTATGCTTTGTAACTTGGGAGTTGATTGACTTCGAATAATACTCATGAGCATCTGATTTCTTGACTCAGTTGCCCTTAGTTCCTAGCACCCCAAAAGCAGGGTCCCGACGAGGGACTGAATGGACCCAGGGCAAGCTGTGAGCTACCCTGGCATCGAAATGGGCCAGGCCATAGAGCCACGATACTCAACTATAAGTTGAGGGCATGATCATGGACAAATGCTGTCATGATCCAAAAGTAAGTAATGACGAGACTAGGACCCTACTGGAGCTAGGAAGATTAACCTGGCCTGAGGACTGCGAAATGTATAATGAGATGTTCTCAGGAAGAACCAAACTAAATTTATATCTCTTACTGTGCTCATACAGAATGACATTGCTAGAAATATTAGAAGTAGATTTATTACAACTATTTAAGTAGATTACTAACTGAGGGAAGAAAACACCCTTGTTGGGATCCCACCCTTGAGCAGATCTCCTAGTAATCTGGAGTAATCTCTGTAGACAGACTTTATCCTTGAGTTAATCTCCTGAAGGGGTGGTCTTACCTCTCTTTGTTGATTCGTCAATATTCAACCCACCTTTATGTCACCGCCTTATGTGACTGCTATATAAACTAAGACATAAGCTCGGGGAGAGGAGAGTCAGAAGCGAGAGCTCGGGCTCCAGAGATTCAGAGTCAGAGCCAGAAGGAGAGAGGTTCCAAGATTGGGGCTCAGGAGAGAAGGAGGCAGAGAAAGACAGGAGTGAAGAGGATTGGAATAAACTACTATTGATATAGACCAGCCTGGCCCTCGTTTCTTCTTCTGTCTGCCCTTGGCCAACAGCCAGGTCACACACAGCGGCTCAAGAGCACCGAACGCAGGCGGTAAGACAGTGCCATCCAGTGAGCCCATGAACACACAACCTTCGGTGTGATAAGATTTTACAATGGCCATGCTGGAGAGCCTCTCGTGGGGGGGCAACTCGTGACCTCGGTAGGGCATGAAGGACATGCCAGTACTGCCCCCCTTCCCATGAGACTGCAGTTGCCCTGTCACCGCCGGCTCGTACCTGGCTTTCCTATAAGCTCTGAGGTGGCAGCCACCCTGTTGCCAGTGGGGGAAAAGGCAGAAGGGAGCAACACCCTTTCGCTCCTTGGGAGGCATGGCGCCGTAGTTTAACACATGGTCCATTCACTTTTCTTCTGCAAGCTGCTGGGCTCTGGACTAAGTCCTTTTGCCTCTGGAAGCATGGCCATGCCAGAGAGCTGCTTGTGGGGGGGGGCAATTCATGACGTCAGTAGGGCGTGAAGGACGAGCTGGTACCATCCCCCTTCCCATGAGACTGCAGTTGCCCTGTCACCGCTGGCTCGTACCTGTCTTTCCTATAAGCTCTGAGGTGGCGGCCACCTTGCTGCCACGGGGGGGAAAAGGCGGAAGGGAGCAACACCCTTTCCCTCCCGGGGAGGCATGGTGCCGTAGTTTAATGCATGGTCCATTCACTTTTCTTCTGCAAGCTGCTGGGCTCTGGACTAAGTCCTTTTGCCTCTGGAGCCATGGCCGTGCCAGAGAGCTGCTTGTGGGGGGGCAACTAATGACCTCGGTAGGGCGTGAAGGAGGAGCCAGTACCGCCCTCCTTCCCATGAGACTGCAGTTGCCCCATCACCACCGGCCCGTACCTGGCTTCCCTATAAGCTCTGAGGTGGCGGCCACCCTGCTGCCAGGGGGGGAAAAGGCGGAAGGGAGCAACACCCTTTCGCTCCTTGGGAGGCATGGCGCCGTAGTTTAACACATGGTCCATTCACTTTTCTTCTGCAAGCTGCTGGGCTCTGGACTAAGTCCTTTTGTCTCTGGAGGCATGGCCATGCCAGAGAGCTGCTTGTGGGGGGGCAACTCATGACGTCAGTAGGGCGTAAAGGACAAGCTGGTACCGTCCCCCTTCCCATGAGACTGCAGTTGCCCCATCACCACCGGCCCGTACCTGTCTTTCCTATAAGCTCTGAGGTGGCGGCCACTTTGCTGCCAGGGGGGGAAAAGGCGGAAGGGAGCAACACCCTTTCCCTCCCGGGGAGGCATGGCGCCGTAGTTTAAAGCATGGTCCATTCACTTTTCTTCTGCAAGCTGCTGGGCTCTGGACTAAGTCCTTTTGTCTCTGGAGCCATGGCCATGCCAGAGAGTCGCTTGCGGGGGGCAACTCATGACCTCGGTAGGGCGTGAAGGAGGAGCCAGTACCGCCCACCTTCCCATGAGACTGCAGTTGCCCCATCACCGCCGGCTCATACCTGGCTTTCCAATAAGCTCTGAGGTGGCGGCCACATTGTATGCAGTCCAGATGCATTTCTACCAAAAGCCGCTGGGTTTCAAGATTTGTTTCTGAGTCTCCGGTATCATGGCTATTAATCAGCTTGATCAGGAGCCAGAGAGGCCGTTTGTAGGCAGAGACTCTGGTTCTCGTTGGGATGGGGAGAAAGAGTCAGCTCCACCCCTATGTGGTGAGGCCCCGTGTGTCTCATCACTGCAGGCCCAAAACTGACTGTCCAGTGGCCTCTGGAGGATGGTGGTCACCGGGCCACCAGGGGAACAGGCCAAGGCATGAAACCTATTCCCACCTGGAGTGACCCAGCACCAGTAACCTACCGCAGGAACAGGACGCATTTCTGCCAAAAGCCTTTGGGTTCTGAGATTCGTTTCTGAGACTCTGGGATCATGGCCATTAAGCAGTTCGATCAGGAACCAGAGAGGCCATGCCTCCAATTATATAGCTGAGCCGGAGGTGGTTTGTGGGTGTGTCTCCCATATACCTAACTTTTGGCCATTTACTTTCTTGGTAAACTTTGTCCCAAGTTTTTGGGGTCTGGCCAAAGGCACAGCAGCAATTTTGGGGTATCTGAAAGTCTGACGTTGCCATCAGGCACTCGCCTCACAGGTACAGATTGACCTGCTGGCGGCCCCATACCACCTGTAATACCCCTTTTAATTTAAATGATAACTTAACTGTATAGAGGATTCCTGTTGTGGTGTTTATTTCATCCAAAACGTTTTTGCTTTTGTCAACCATTCTCTTTTGCCTGTAGAGTTTCATTTGATAGCTCGGTGAAACTTATGGGGGATCCTTTGTGTTTCTTCTTTGCTTTTGCTGTTCTTAGGATTCCAGTTATAGCTTCAACTTTTCTGAGTTCAATTACTATGTGTCTTAGAGATCTTTGTATTTAGAACTTTTTGAGTTTCTTTGATCTGGGTATATGACTTAATTCTCCAATTGGGGAAATTCTCAGTTATAATTTCTTCAATCAGTATTTCTTCCCCATATGCACTTTTTTATCGCTCAGGGTCTCTCTCCATTTAAATGTGGTTCTTCCTAAAATTTACCACATAACCATGATTTTGTCTTCACTTTTTTCTTTCTTTTCTCTTCTGTTCTTCACTGATAGTTTCCTGATGCTTATCTTTCACCACACTGATATGATCTTCAGTTTCTATCACTCTGCTGCAGAGAGCTTCCAACAAGTTTTTAGTTCACCTCTCATGCTCTCCAGTTCAGTGACTAATGACTGCAGTTTTCTCATAGCCCTTCTCATACTTGACTGTTCTTTGGTGCGGAGCTATTCTATTATCTTCAGTGTGTTGAGCAACCTTACCAGGGTGACTCTAAAGTTGTCATAGGAGAGGTTATAGAGCTGAAGAATCCTTTCAAACTATGATGTTACCATTAATTTTGCTAAGATGTCCCAACTCTTTGCTGTGTCTACTGTAGAGCAAGGTTAAGGAGATTATCCAGTTTGGTGCAGGCTTGTATAGCAATCTGAAGTTCATGATCAATTCCACCCAGTCTCTGCTGCTATATTTATGTTGTGTCTAGCCACTGCAAAGACTCTGTAGTACAAATCAGCACTACCTTCCTACCTTTATGATTCCCAGCAACACAGTTTTTGAGTCTGGGCTGCTAGCACAGCACACCAGAACCAGTCTTCCTCTTTTCTCAAAACAAATTCCTTCTTAGACTAGGTGAAAGTCTGAACGATGTGCTTTGAGGGAGGGTACATGCAGTTCTTATTTCTCTAGCTTTCTGCCTGCCTCCTTAGCCTGGTGGGTCGTCTTCTTCCCTGTGATCATAGCTATGAGCTCTGCCAGCTTAGGACTCTTCCAGCTGCTGTACCAGCCTCCTGTTCACATTTTTTGCAGGTGGATAAGTATGAATACTAATAAGGCTTATAATATGAGTAAATACTTATAATGTGAGTAAAGCTATAGTCTGTGAGTAAAGTTATAGTCTGCCATGTCAAGCACCAGTGTTGTGTAAAGGAGTAGTCTGTAACATTACCTGATGGGATGCCAAGCTGTGACCCTACCCTCCTGCTGAAGTTCTCTCTCATTTTCCTGAGGTCAACACGTATCACACAACGGTAATGATGCCCTTCAAGCAAACTGAAGACCCAAAGCTAAGAAACAAAACAGACACAGACACCAACTCTTTCATCAAAGGGTCTGGAAGGAAAAGTGAAAACAGATCAAGAAGAGCAGGTTCCTGAGAGTTTACAGAGCTATGTGATCTAAGACCTGCCCTTCTCTGTCTCTACCACCCACTAGGATCCATCCTGCCCTAGCACATGCCATAAGAAACCTCTGAAATCATGACACATCACACCTGTGATAAAATCTCTAAAAGAACTGGACTATATGGGCTTCATAGGGCTTCCAAGCAGCAAAGACCATGGGGATAAACACTCCTGACCCACTGTTAGGTCTCTGTCAGGCTTCTCTCACTTCCTCCATAAGTGTCTTTGTTTCCCTTAGTTCTGTGAGCTGCTGTCTCTAAATTACTCATTGCAGAGTTGGGATCAAGGATTAGTGGGGAACATGGGGACCTGCTTCCTGTGATCGGTGTCTGAGGTGGTTATCTTGGGAAACTGCTGCAACCTGATGCTGCATCCTGATGCTCCTGTTCAACAAGCAGGTGGAGAACCAGATTCAGTGATCTCCTACTGGCCTTGGCAGTGTGTGTTGTGGGCAACTGCTGCATCTGGTGTCAGAAATGCCAGGAAGGTATTTGGCATGCAGAACGTCTGCATTTTCCAATACCAACAACAACTCTTTTTGACTTGGGGTCATATCCAGTGGTGCTCAGGGAATAACAGGCTGTGCCAGGGATCTAACCTGGACTCCTGCATGCAAAACCACACTTGGACCATGGAACTATCTCCACATCCTCAAAAGCAACTTTACTTTAAAAAAAGAAGTGTCTCCTACTTCATGAAGGAAAGCTAAAATGTCATAGAGTAGAAATTCTGAGGTCTTCCCCATTGCCACATATTGGAAAATAGTCACTATGAACACTGTAGGTCAATACAGCCTCACTGTCTGAAATCCCAAAGAAATCAGGACCTGAGGACAAAGACAGTGGCCTTGCAAGTCCGTGCATGCAACGTCCACTCTGTCATGCTGAACCAGAGTGGGATTGCCTCCCATGTCCCTCACCTGGCCATCAGCTCCCCCGGTGACAAGCTGCCGACTCACTCCATCAACAAGCAGGCTCAGGAGAGGGTACGCTGTGGAGCAAAGACATGGATACTTATCTTGGAGACAGCCATACAGTTCACTTAACCCAGAGCAGCAAGTTCACTTATGCTGCTGTCACTCTGTGCTTTCTCTATGCCCACAGGCAGTAGACAGAGAAGGAGGAGGTCATTTCTCACAGACAGTACCACACCACCTACTCCTTGCAGTGGAGGCAGACACCCCATCAGAGATTCCTGTCAGAGAACTGAGCATAAACAGAATAACTCCTGCATGAGTCAGAAATAACACCATCAAAGAAAGTGAACAGCAACTTTTTCAGTTCTTCTCCAGGGTGCTATTTCATTTGTAACTTGAGAGTTCTGAAGGTAAACTATGAAACTTTAGGAGAATCTAGGATAGGTATTTAAAAATTCTGCAAATCTTAAATAAATAACATCCTAGACTAAGTGCATTCTTTCTTGAATGCTGATAATTCCACATAAGGATGTTCAGGGAAGTAATTCTATCACAATTCCTAATAATGGAGTTCAGTCTGAGCTTGGTAAACAAATACAAGTTAAAACAGCAGATTTGGCACTTGGAAGAATGATCCAGGAAGAATGCTAAGTCTTCTGGGAAACAGAACAGTAGCCTGAGTAGATCATAGGTATCTAAGCATGCCCTTGTCCCAAAGGGTCCAGACACCTGGTCCACTATGTAAACCACCCTCCCGCCATCTGAATATACTTAAATCCTGATTTATATATTACTAACTCCAAGACCAGCAAGCTACCAAGAATATCTCGCCTGCATGGGCAGAACCTGGCAAGCTCCCCATGGCGTATTCGATATGACAAATACAGTAACGACAATAGGTCTCTTTCCCCTGACCCTGAAAGAGCCTCCACTCGTTGGGAAAAGACGAGTAAGAAGAGGCTGCTAAAATCTCAGGGCTGGGAGGAATAGAGATGATACTGGCACCTGCTTGAGTTTTTGAAAACCAAAGGGATGACAGTGACAGTGACAACTCCAAGAAAGGCCTATCCTATCCTAATCATTCTCTTCTCTACAGGGGCACAAGGAGAGCAGGAAAACCAACCTGGGAGCCACAGGACTGAATGGCTTTAACAGAGGGATGGGGGCGTATCATAAAGCAACCACTCCAAGCCTCAACATCGCACTACTGTGCAGTTCCTGCCAGCTCCAGGTGAGAACAGATGCTATCCTAACATCGGAGTAATGAGGAGGCAGGGATTCCGCAGAACAAGGCATGTGCCCACTTTAGTCTGCCCTGCAGACAGGAGGAGTGCTCCTCTTTCCCAACCACATCTGGGCCTCACCTGCAGATGTAACAGAGGGTACCCCTGCATTGGCTATCAATCCCTTAAACAGTCATACTCTCGAGAAACGGCAGGATTCTTCAGAATATTATATATATTGGGAGATGGGGCCACACATCTGGCAGAAAGGAAGTATCTACCTGTGAGCACTGATGAAGTGTAGATCAAGGATCCCACGTGATGGTTCCAGACCTGATGATAGGAGGTTTGTTAGAAAAGTAAACGTTGGCCATTTTTTGACATAGCTTGAACTAAATTACAGCTTGAACTAAATGAAGCTATGTATAGTTTATCTAATAGTAAAGTTAACAATAAAGTATAACCGTACTAAAACTATAGAAATGTAATAAAAGCTAACGTGTAAGGTAATGACCACCTCTGAGTCAGAAAAGCCAAAATAAGAGGCAGCTCAGCGCTTATTCAACAGGCCTAGATAGAGGTGGCTGTTACCCTCAACTGACCATGTCCAGTGGAGAGATACACTTGAACCTGTACACTGTACCCAATTCTTGTCATCCTGTGGAAAACCTGAGTAGATGTCCCCATCCTCAACCGTGCAGGGAAGAAAGTGAGCACAATGTGGCCAAGCACTGAGATGAAATGAGTAGGAAGCCCACTAACAGATTCTCCAGAGCAGGGTGGCCAGGTGAAGGGTTCTTTAGTACCACAGGGAAGGGTTCTCCAGCACTCTCCCTGAGGGTGTGCACTCACTATCCCTCACCCCCGTCAGTCACCAGAAGAGTCCTGGGAATACCGCCCAACTTGGAGTTGGAAAGGAAATGAGCTTGCATTTGTTCTTTTCCTTAGGTCAATTCAATCTGACCAATTCTGATATTAGCTTTGCACAGTGGCAGTATTATAGCCAATGAGGTTTATCCAAGGTGTAATTATTGCTAACTGAAAACTTTTCCCAGTTCTTCCATTAGCAACAACTCTCTGCTCTGGATCTGGGTCACTGTGGTGAGAAATGGGAGTCTGCATGGCCTGGCCCTGGGCTCCCAGAGAATCCCGTATCCACCTCAAGCCCCACTGGGAGAAGGGTTCCTCCAGAGTGCTATGAGTACCATACAGTCCTCCCATGCCAGTCCACAGACCCCAGCTAAACATCAGACCAGGATTCAGAATGCAGAACTCAGCCCGGGGCAATACACCCAGAGTCTATATCCAGCTCAGCCAGTGAGCTGCCTGTGCTTATAGAAGTGCTGGTCCCCACGGTTTACCTTAAAGGTCCTATCTTCAGACACTGAGATGATGATGCCAGCTTGCCAGGGACAAAACTCAGCTGCAGTCACTGGGCCCAAGTGGCCCTCCAGCTCAGCCAGCACAGACTGACTCTAGGAAATTTACAAGGCAGAGTCAAAAGTGAGGGTCCTAGGGATTATGGTCCAAATTTACATCAATGACCTAGAAAACCGTTTCCAGGAAAATAAATTCAACTTTACATAATTCCATCTTTCATGTTTAAATCGATTTTTTTTTGCAGTACTTGGAATCCAACCCAGATCTTACACATATGAAGCCTATTCTACCCCTTAGCCATATTTCAGTTCTCCTTTTGATATTTTATGCTAATAATGTATTCTAATTAAAAGTATCTCAACAAAGTGTTCCATATTCACTTCAAGTCTCAGATAAATCTGACAGGATGCTCACTAGAACACACTGTACAAAGGCAAGAAGCCACCCATGTCCCTGAAAGTCCTCCAGGCAGCCCTGTCACAGCTGGACAGAACACCTGACCTGAGCTCTTCCTCTCTTTCCATGGACTAGAGTCACCACAGTAACCCCAGCTCGCCTTCTGCAGTTTCCGGGGCTGTCCTGTCTCTTTCTGGGCATCCCAACTTCCTACAAATCTGTCACTGTCACTGTCCTCCCGTTGTTCATCGATTTGCTCGAGCGGGCCCAGTAACGTCTCCATTGGAGACTTTGTTGTTACTGTGTTTGGCATATCGAACACATCACGCATAACTTGCCAGGCTCTGCCGTGTGGGCGAGATACTCTCGGTAGCTTGCCGGGCTCTCGGAGAGGGGTGGAGGAATCGAACTTGGGTTGGCCTACAAATCTAACAAGCTTAAAATCCTTCCAATTTACTCATTTCCTTGTATCAAGATGAGTAGCTGTTACAATATCGAAGGGTGTCATGTTAAACAAAATAAGTCAGAGGATGAGGGACAAATACAAGATGACCTCATTCATCTGTGGAATACAGAAATGGAACAACAGACAAACACAGACAGTACTGAACAATAGAATACAAAATCAATTACCAAATAGTAAAGGGAAAGAAAAAATGGGAAAATGACCAGACTAGAGGTGACATAGGAACAGTGGTGGTGGGTCTTAGGTACTTTGGTGGTGACAGTATAGAAATTGTGCATATCTAATATAGCCAATATAATATTTAATATATCTAATATAATAATACTATCACTTGATCACTTGACTTCCCGTTAATCGTTGATTTGCTCGAGAGGGTGCCAGTAACGTCTCCATTTGTCCCTGTCGCGTGCTAGTGTAGCCCAATGGCGTCTGTTTGCTCTAGGAACATGAAGAAACCTCAATGAGCTTGGTTATCATGTGGATATGGTCAATAGTGCTGAATCCTTTGCAGAACCTGGCTTGCTCGCATGGTTGTCCTTCATCTAGTGTTCTGCCAATCCTATTCAGGATGACTCGAGTGAGCAGCTTGTAGATGACAGACAATAGGCAGATCGGGCGATAGTTCCCAATGTCATGGATGTCTCCCTTCTTGAACAGTAGTACAGTTCTGCTCGTTTTCCATTGGGACGGAACCCTGCATTCAGACAGGTAGCGAGTGAAGAGCCGAGCCAGTGTATTGATGAGTACTGACGGCAGGTTCTTCAGGTGTTCAGGTCTGACCTTGTCTGGGCCGGGTGCTGTTTGTTTCTTTACCGACGAAATGGCGTGTCAGATTTCGGAAGGGAGAACGTTGGGAACGACATATCCATCCTGTGGAATTTGGTATGTCGGCAAGTGGACATGGCTATCAAAGAGATTTGAGTAGAAGTCATGGATAATCTTCTCCATTGCCGGTCTGGAGGATGTGATGGATCCATCAGGATGTCGGAGGGCAGTCATCTTGGTCTTGTAGTTGGCGAAGGACAGACAGACGTAACGAATACTTTTCCCGGCTTATGCCGCATCTACCAGCACTTCTGCTCTTCTCTCTTTGAGGTCTTCCTTGATCGCATCTCTGCACTGCTTTGCAAGCTCGGACATTAGCTTGCGGTTGCCTGAGGCATGCGCCAAACCACGCTGGCGAATAAGCTCAAGAGTTTTCGAAGACAGGCATTTTCTTGTGGCTATCTCTCTCTTGGCGTTCCTCGCACATTCATGGAGGTGCTGTACCAGTCGATCGTATTCCTCATCAATGTTGTCAACAATGGCATCTTCCCATGTAACTGCAATAGTGCCAAAGAGCTCCCAGTTGGTGGTCGTTCTGGGTGTTCTCTTTTTAAACTTTGCAGCCCTTTCTCCCCGCTCTGTGAAGTAGAATTTTGCACGAAGGAGACGGTGGTCCGATCCCGTTCTAAATTTTGGAACAACAGCGACATCAGTCAGGCAAAACCGTGGATTGAATATGATGTGGTCTATTTCGTTGTGGAATCGTCCACCGGGAGACTCCCATGTCCATCGTTTAGATTCAGCCTTCTGGAACTGTGAGTTACCATGGATGGTCTTGGTCGACATGATGAACTCAGACAGTCTCTCACCCTGTTCGTTCCATTCTAGGCCATGGGTCCCGATGTGAAGTTCTTCGGCTGATCTTCTCGGTCCTATCTTGGCATTATAGTCACCCACAATGATCTTGTAGAAGGTGTGGTCTTCTTTATAGAACTTCTCTAGCTCCATGTAGAACTTCTCAATTTCTCTTTCATCAAAATGAGATGTTGGTGCGTAGACAACGAAGATAGAAACTGCAGGCAGTGAGCCACATCTATTCAAATGTAAACGTCCAATTCGGGTGTTATGCATTCGAATGAATCAATGCTCATGGCCAAGTTTGTGCTGATAAGGACACCGACGCCTCCGACACCTCTTTTATCGTATGTTCCGAGGAACAATTCTTCTCCAGTGTCGAAAACGGCATGATGAGATTGGTGCCTTCTTGTCTCGGTCAGACCAATGATGTCGTACTTGATCTTTCGCACTTGTACCATCAGGTCTTCGATGGATGCATCTGATGCTAGCATACATGCATTGAAAGTACAGATGATCATTTTTGTATCCCTTCGTTGTGGCAGCCTAGCTCGGTCTTGAGATTTTATCGGCCTCTCCTTTCTCATCCTTCTCAATGCTGTCATATTGGTGAAGCCTTCAGGGTCTGGGGAATGAGACCCATTGTAATTACTGGTTTTGGCATATCGAATACACAATGGATAGCTTGCGAGGCTCTGCCGTGCGGACGGAATACTCTCGGTAGCTTGCCAGGCTTTCCGAGAGGGATAGAGGCGTTTGGGGCGACCTCTAATCGCCCTTGTAGGTGTTACCATATTTGAAGCCTATCAAATATGGTGAGGCAATTCTGGAGGATGGGTATTTAGTGTCTTATAATGTGTCGCACAGCCGCTTCACAGCGGCTGGACTTTCATTGATTTCTGCTTACTTTAACGTTTAGTGACCAATTCCTTAGGCATATTTTTGTTAGTTCCTTTTTTTTTTAACCTCACCTCATCTTTTTTTTTATTATCTGTAAAATGGAGAACGAGATTTTTACCCCCCTTCTGGAGCAGTTCATGACCAGCCCCCTGGTCACTTGGGTGAAAACGTTTGGACCTCTGGCCACGGGAAATGGGACCAACCTGGATGAGTATGTGGCTCTGGTCGATGGTGTCTTCTTGAACCAGGTCATGCTTCAAATAATACTATATTGGCCAAAAATATAATTAATAATTTAAAAGATAAGGGTTTGCTGTGACCCACATGGCCAGTCAAATGTTAACCTGAGAGACAGAATGAGAGTTGCAAAGAAGGGGTAGGGAGGACTATATGAAGTATACAGCAACTTTATTGCAAAGTTCATTGACTTTTATAGTATGCAGTAGACAATTTGTGGGAAAGCCCAGGGTTACAAGTTGGGCATGCTACTCTGTTATTCTGTTTTGCAGCTGCGTATGCAGGCAGTTCCTTGAACTTCTCAGCAAAACAGGACAGGAGTGAGAATGTGGCTTCTGGCCCAGTCAAGCTGGATCAGGTGGAGCCTTCCCTTCAGTCCCCCTTACTGAGGTCAACCGCCAGGGCATGGTGCTCCCAGAACGCCAAGTTTTTCCCCTGCTCATTCCCTTTTCAGGGGAAACAAGCAGGGGCTACCATGGCCAGTCCCCAACAAGGGTTGAAACAGATAACATTCCCACCAGCAGCACATGAGAATTCTTCCCACCAGCAGCACATGAGAGGTCTTTTTTCACCATACTTCCACCAACAGAGATTACTCCCAGTATTTTTTATATGTACCACTCTCAATGGCACAGCAGGTAGGGTGTTTGCCTTGCATGCGACCAATACAGGTTTGATTCCTTCTTCCCTCTCAGAGAGCCCGGCAAGCTACTGAGAGTATCTTGCCCGAACAATGAAGCCTGGCAAGCTACCCATGACGTATTCGATATGCCAAAAACAGTAGCAACAAGTCTCACAATTTGTTGTGAGACATTACTAGTGCCCACTCAAGCAAATCGATAAACAGCAGGAGGACAGAGCTACAGTGCTACCATTCTCAATAGTATACGATGATACTGCATTATCATCTCGATTTGGATTTTCTTAATAATAAGTAATGATGAGCATTTTTTCACATGCCTGTTGGTCTTCCTAGAGAAGTCCCTGTTCATTATCTCTCTGCATCTTTTGATGAGGTTTTGGATTTTTCTGTTGTTGAACATTGTATTTTATATATCTTAGATATAAACTCTTTATCTGATGTGTTGACAGCAAATATTTTCTTCCATTCAGTTAGCTGCCATTTAGCCTTAGCCCATGTGTCTTTTGCCATGCAGAAACTCTTTAATACTGTGGTTCCATTCGTTTATTTTGAGTGGAGGGTGTGGAGAGAAGAGACAGGAAGCAACAGGGGCAGGTCAAGATACATGGGTGGTGGTAAGGAATGAGAGTTAAATATCCAAACCACAGAGTCAACAACACTGAAATCAAAAGACCCAAACTTAAATAAACAAAAAGGTACCTGTTGAGATAACAAGCTGGGGTGGGGGTGGGGGTGAGGGCAGGAAAGGGAACCTGGGAACACAGGTGGAAGGAAGATGAACCTGGTGGCGGGATTGGTGATGGTATATTGTATGTCTAAAACCCAACTATGAACAACTTTGTAAGTCATGGTGCTTTCATAAAATAAAATTTGAAAGGGAAAAAAAGGTTACAGAGAAAAGAAAAATCTTTAAAGATTAAAAAAAAAGATGGTTACTTATCTTAAGTTTGGTAAAGTGATCTAATGCTAATTTACTTAGACAACAAGGCAGCTGCACAAAACATGAGTAATACTTATAGCTCAAGTCCCAGGAGATGTTCATAGTGAGTCTCTTTCAAACCTTCACCAGTCCTGGGACTCTCCTATAATCCAGGACACCCCGGAAGTGTTATACACTCCCATTTTATAATCTGATCAACAGTCACTGGAGCACAGAAATGTATACTCGCTATCCACACTGGTCAGCATACAGCAGTCAATTAGCCTTGGATTCAAAACAATTTGCCTTGCATCCTTCCTAATCTGGGGTTTTTTTCCAGTTGTTTTTTTTTTCTGTTTGGGGGCCACCCTCGGTGCTCAGGGATTACTCCTGGCTCTGCACTCAGAGATCACTCTTAGCAGGGCCCAGGGGACCATATGGGATGCCGAGGATTGAACCTGGGCCAGGCACATGCAAGGCAAGCAACCTACCTGCTGTACTATCACTCTGGACCCTGGCTAGATGTCTCTTTGTATGTATATGGCCAGAAAATTCTTTGGAGCAAATAGGTGTGTTCTGTATGTTCAACTGGCAAGCAGTAGACATGATATCAAACCTTGGGTAAACATCTCCAAACAAATTTTACAAGGAACATGAATTTTGAATAAACCAGTCTTTCTTGATGCATTCTGACACTGAATACATTCCACAGCGCTCAAGCCTTATACCTCACAACCAAATGAGAAACTGAACATCCACACCCTTATGGAGGAACACACTCACATAAACCAATCCCAAGGAAAGTATTGCTGGGAAGATTCAATTCCTGGGGAAGTAACTGCTAGAGAGAAACAAAATCAGGGGGCTCTGGGGGCACAAAGACTTGAGAGGGTGACTGCAGCAGGGCAAGTGAAGGGAAGGAACAATGGGGCTGAGTGAGCTGTCTCAGTTGCCCTACTCAGTACTAACCAAGTATAAAGGAAGGCTTACTTTCATGCATTTACCAATGATGTGGCCACAGTGACCAGCTAGCATGTTATGGAGATGGTACAGACTCTATCTAGAGTCGTAAAACTGCACTCAAGTCTTACAGGTGAAAAAACTCTCCCTACTATCATCAAGTGTAACTTAATTTTAACACTTTGTCAGACTCATACCACAGCTCTGCCCTCAGTACTACACCAACCCCCAAGCTGCCAATGTTGTCAGACTTACCTCCCTATTAAGTCCTCTATCAGCAGTGGCCCCCAAGTCAAACACAGGTATCAGATTCACTCTATACCCAATACCATAAGCATCTTTCCTGGATTTTCTCATATAGGCACATAGTACTCAGACACAAAGAAAACATACACACACTTATAAGATATGCAATACTCAGGCACAGAAAGCAAACACCCATATAAGTTATATAATACTTAGCCATGAGAGCACCATACACACAAAATACATACTTCAGACACAAAGAGGGGCTGCAGTGATAGTACAGCAGGTAGGACGTTTGCCTTACACCCAGATTCAATTCCCAGCATCCCATATGGTCCCCTGAGCACCGCCAGGAGTAATTTCCAAGTGCAAAGCCAGGAGTAACCCCTGTGCATTGCTGGGTGTGACCCAGAAAGAAAGAAAAAAAAGATACAAAGAGTGCACACACACATATAAAGCAAGTAATACTCTGACACAGTAGGGGCCACATACAGAAAATACATAATACTTAGATACCAGAGTGCGCGTGCGCACACACGCGCACACACACACAAAGTTCATAATACACAGACACAGAGAGCACACATACATACTATATGATACACAGACACAGAAGCGGAAACACACATATAAGGCATTACTGTAATACTCAATAGACAGAACACACACACATAAAGTAGGTAATACCTGAAGAGCACAACACATAGGCTGTACGTGATACACAGACACAGTGAGAACATACACACACATATAAAGGAGAACTCACCTCCACATCCAGCATGAAGATTCTATTCCCGGCACACACAGCTATAGCATGATCATCTGGAGTGAACCTCAAACACAACACCTTTCCTAGACAAGTCCCAATGGTAGTCCCACAAGGAGATTGGCCTAGAAGGAGCATGATCATTAGTGCTGGTACTTGGAAGTCCTTCAGCCTTTCACGGGCAACGCTGACAACCAACGTGGCACCTTCTTTACTGGCCTGAGTGACCAAAGTAGAACAGTGATGCAGTGAGAAATTTAAAGATGTGAACACGAACATGTGGTCATAGAAAGTTCTGTGAGATGCACCTCCAGGTGTTCAAAGGGTCTTTGAAAAGCTGCCCGGGCACCCTGTGAGCCCAAAAGACAAGGACACCAACCCCTCTTCCTGCAACCACCTCTTGTGTCTGGGTTGGGAAGAAAATCGAAGGCTTGGTTTGTGACTGTCCACGGCAACAAGGACATCCCCCAGCAAGCATGTGGAGCCCCCAGTAAAGATGCAAATATCACCACTGCTTCGTGATAAGGTGACAGCCACTGCAGCAGATACCATGACTGAGATTTTGAAAAAACTAGGCTACTCATGGTGTCACTGGGAACCATGATAGCCAGAAATTAAGGAACAGAGAACATGGACATGTGGCCCTGAGCTCTGTGTGGCAATCTACAAGGGGTCAACATCAACAGAACCAGGGAGTGACGGACAATGGGCTCTGCCTTTTTGGAGTTCCCATACTCCAGTGATAGGTAAGAATCAGATGCTAGGAAATAACTCCACAGAAACAGGAAAGAGAGCATTGCAGAGAAGAGCAGGGTGCATGACAGGGGACCAGGATGCGGGATTGGGTACAGAGTTTTGAGAAGAACCCACAGCAAGAATACAATGGAATATAGTAGTGAGAAAACGGAGGTCAGCAGAGTCAAAGATGAGTCGTGTGTGTGTGTGTGTGTGTGTGTGCGTGCGCGCGCTCTGTGTCTGAGTATTATGTACTTTATATGTGTGCCTGTGATCTCTGATACTAAGCAGTTTTTATGTGGACGGCTGTGTCTGAACATTATAAAATTTATTTTGTATAATGCTCTTGTACTGGAGCATTACATATATTATATATGTGAATATATATTATATATATTATATATTATATGGGCTGGAGCGATAGCACAGCGGTAGGGCGTTTGCCTTGCACACAGTCAACATGGCTGACCCAAGTTCGATTCCTCCGTCCCTCTTAGAGAGTCCGGCAAGCTACCAAGAGTATCTCGCCTGCACGGCAGAGCCTGGCAAGCTACCCGTGATGTATTTGATATGCCAAACACAGTAACAACAAAGTCTCCAATGGAGACTTACTGGGCCCGCTCAAGCAAAATCGATGAACTGTCACTGTCCTTCCCTTGTTCATCAGTAGCTTGCATATAAAGCTTTCATTTCTGAGAAGTTCCCAGAGCCGGAGTGCATGCACCCAAATCCAGGGGCCCCAAAGGGTACCAGCTGAGAGAAATTAAAATAAAAATACCCCAAGGCACTTCCTAATCAGAATCATGAAAACCACAGAGACAGAATATTGAAAGCAGCAAGATCAAAGAAGGAAATAGCTTATAATGAAGCATCCATAAGATTCACAACAGACTTATCAGATGAAACTCTCTGGGCCCAGAGACAGTGGTGAGATATAGTGAACAAACTCAATGAAATAAATGCCTCATGAAGAATACATTACCCAGCCAGACTCTAGTTCAGATTTGAAGGAATAACACTCAATTTCACAGGTAAAGAGCAACTCAGGAACTTCATAGACACAAAATCATGGTTAAAAGAAGACCTAAATGGGTTACTTTAAGATAAGACAAACCCCACAAGTACACCAACTCCTACCTAAAGGTGTCACAAATCCCCATCACAATAATATCTCTCAATGTCTATGGATTAAATGCACCAATCAAGAGATAAAGAGTGGCAGGATGGATTAGAAAATTGAACTCAACATTCTGCTGCCTGCAAGAAACACATCTGAACAATCAAAGCAAACACAGGCTCAAAGTCAAAGGCTGGAAAACAATTCTCCAAGAAAACAACCCCCTCAAAAAAGTCAAGGTGGCCATTCTAGTATAAGACTGCATGGATTTCAGACTGAAAAAAGTTATGAGACAAGTGAAGGTCATTTCTTAATGATTAAGATATTGGTATACTGGGAAGACTCACCCTCCTAAATGTATAGGCACCTAATGAAGGACAAGAAAAATACTTGAAACCATTGCTAATAGACCTGAAGAAAGATACTGATAGCAGCACAATAGTAGTTGAAGACTTGAACATTGCTGTCATCTCCGAATAGATCAACCAGACTAAAGCTCAGCAAGGACATACTTTATTTGAGGGAAGAAAGGAGATAGAGGGGGTCAGTAGATAAATAGACTTTTCATCCCCCAAAAGTTGAATACACATTCTTCTCCAGTGCACAGGGGCATTCTACAAAACAGATCACATGGTGGGCCACAAACCACACCTCCATGAAATTAAGAGGATAGAAATTGAATTAATGATCTTTTCAGACCATGATGCACTGAAAATACAAGTGAATCACATACAGAAACAGAAATTTAGATCGAACATCTGGAAGTTAAACAGCTCACTGCTGAACAACCAGTGAGTTAGAAAGAAAATCAAAGAGGAAATCAAAAGATTCCTGAAAATAGGGGTATGGTGCCGCCAGCAGGTCAATCTGTACCTGTGAGACGAATGCATCAGCAGCCTCATGGCTCCTTTAGGCTTCCAGATACCCCAAAATTGCTGCTGTGCCTTTGGCCAGACCCCAAAAACTTGGGGCAAAGTTTACCAAGAAAGTAAACGGCCAAAAGTTAGGTATGTGGGAGACACACCCACAACCTCCTCCGGTTCAGCTATATAATTGGAGGCATGGCTTCTCTGGTTCCTGATCGAACTGCTTAATGGCCATGGTCCCAGAGACTCAAAAACAAATCTCGAAACCCAACGGCTTTTGGCAGAAATGCATCCAGTCCCTGCAGTCGGTTACTGGTGCCAGGCCACCCAAGGTTGGAATAGGTTTTGTGCCTTGGCCTATTCCCCCTGGAGGCCCGGTGGCCGTCATCCTCCAGAGGCCACTGAACAGTCAGGTTTGGGCCTGCAGTGATGAGACACGCAGGGCCTCACGGATGGGGGTGGAGCCAGCCCTTTCCTCCCCAGCCCAACGAGACCCCGAGTTGCCACCCACGAAATGCCTCTCTGGCTCCTGATCAAGCTACTTAATGGCCATGATCCCAGAGACTCAGAAACAAATCTTGAAACCCAGCAGCTATTGGCAGAAATGAGTCCAGACCGCGCAGTAGGTTACTGTCGCTAGGCCATCCCAGGGGGGAAAGGGTGCTGTCCCTCCACCTCCTCCCCCTAGGCGGCTCGGTGGCCGCCATCCGCCAGAGGTCACTGGACAGTCAGGATTGGGCCCACAGTGATGAGACATTTTAGGCCTCATGGGATGGGGGTGGAGCCAGTCCTGTCCACCCCACCCCAACAAGACCCCAAGTCATCGCCCACAAATGGCCTTTCTGGCTCCTGATCAAGCTGCTTAACGGCCATGATCCCAGAGACTCAGGAGCAAATCTCGGAACCCAGCAGGTTTTGGAAAAAAATTCCTTTCAGATTTGTTAAAATTTCAGAATTTCAAAATTGCGGCCATTACTGCAGTCAGGCGGCATCATATGTTATTCATAACCAGCAACAGAAAACAAATTTTCTACTGTTGCCTTTTTGGCAGATCTGAATATTGGGGTAAAATCTCAAATAATAATGGTGGGTCTGGTGTCAAAATATTGAATGTAATCAAAGTAGAGAGAGAGTAATGTGGAAATCATCTGCCCCACAGGTAAGGGAAGGTGTGGGATGCGGGTATACTGGGGTTTTTGGTGGTGAAGAATGAGCACTGGTGAAGGTACAGGTGTTTCATTGTATGACCAAGACTTAAACCGGAAAGCTCTGTAACTCTTCTCACAGTGATTCAATAAATAAAATTATAAAAAATGGGAAAAAAAGTAAGGTGGAGTTCACGCACAATTCAATCAGCCAAATCAGTGGCTGAATAAATAGCAGTACTCCTACATTTAAAAAAAAATTCTGGAAACAAATGAGAATAAGAACATGAGCTACCAGAACTTGTGGGACACAGCAAAGGCAGTGTTAAGAGGAAAGTTTATAGCTCTACAAACATTCCTCAGAAAAGAAGAGAGGACACACATCTCGCAGCTTAGATCTTGGAAAATGACCAACAAAAGGAGCCCAAACCAGGCAGGAGGGAGGAGATTATAAAACTTAGAGTAGAAATCAATAGGCTGGGATCCCAAAAGAATCCAAAAGATCAATGAAACCAAAAGCTGGTTCTTTGAGAAAATAAACAAGATTGATAAGCCACTAGCAAGACTCATAAAGAAACGGAGAGAGAGGAACCTAGTAAACCATATCAGAAATGCAAAGTGGAACATCAAAACAGAAATGCAGAAATCTATAGGATCATCAGAGATTACTTTGAAAATCTTTACAGCATGAAATAGAGAATCTTGAAGAAATGGATAACTTCCTGGATTCTTATAACCTCTCAAGGTTAAACCAAGAAGATTTGGAATACCTAATAGATCTATTGCCATTGAGGGAATTGAAATGGTAATCAAGTCTTTGATTACCAAAAAGTAGTGCTGGAAGTACCCACCATAGCACTTAGGGAAGAAAACGATTTTAAGGGCATCCAGATAGAAAACGAAGAAGTCAAGCTCTCACTATTTGCACATGACATGATATTGTACTTAGAGAAACCTAAAGTCTCTACCAAAAAAACTCCTATAAACAATAGATTTGTATAGTAGAGTGGCAGGTTACAAAATCAATACTTAAAAGTCCATGGCTTTCCTATATGCAAATAATGCAAGAGAAGAAAGTGATATTTTTTTTAAAAATGCCGTTCACAGATGTGTCACAGAAAATCAAGTACCTCGGAATCACCTTAACTAAGGTAAAGGACCTGTGAAAAGAAAACTACAACACGTTACTTCAAGAAATGAAAGAATTACTTTATATTCTCCAGATGAATGCAATCTTTCTATGCCTGTCCCTCTCTTTCTGACTCATTTCACTTAGCATGACACTTTCCATGTAGTACCACTTGTATGTAAATTTCATGACTTCTTTTTTTCTAACAGCTGCATAGTACTCCATTGTGTAGATGTACCAAAGTTTCTTTAACCAGTCATCTGTTCTCAGGCACTCGGGTTTTTTTCAGATTTTGGCTATTGTGAATAATGCAGCAATGAACATAGAAGTGCAGATGTCATTTCGACTGTACTTTTTTGCCTCGCCAGAATATATTCCCAGGAGTGGTATTGCTGGGTCAAATGGGAGCTCAATTTCTAATATTTTTGAGAATCGTTCATACTGTTTTCCAAAAGGGCTGGGGAATATAAAGTAACAAAATGGGAGACTAACACCCAAGAATAGCCAAGATAAGTACCAGGAGGTTTACTCCATGGCTTGGAGGCCAGCCACATATGCTAGGGGAAAAGGCAGCTCAGATAGAGATAGAGCACCAAGTAAAGGGTGTTGGGAGGATCCTCCCAGGATGAGAGATGCATGCTGAAAGTATAGACCGAACATGATTGCCACTCAATGCCTCTTTTGCAAACCACAGCACCCAAAAGGAGAGAGAAAACAAAAGGGAATGCCCTGGCACAGGAGTGTGGTGGGATAGGGGGGTATGGGGTGCGGGAGGGATGCTGGGAGCATTGGAGGTGGGGAATGGGCATGGTGGAGGGATGGGTACTCAATCATTGTATAACTGAAACCCAAGCACAAAAAATTTGTAAGTCTACAACTGTACCTCATGGTGTTTCAGTCATAAAAATTAAAAATTACATTGTCAGTATGACAATACTCCCAAAACCATTATACAGATTCAATGTGTTCCCTATAAGGATGTCACTGTCACTGTCCTTCCCTTGTTCATCAATTTGCTCAAGCGGGCCCAGTAACATCTCCATTGTGAGACTTGTTGTTACTCTGTTTGGCATATCGAATACGTCACGGGTAGCTTGCCAAGCTTTGCAGTGCAGGCGAGATACTCTCAGTAGCTTGCCAGGCTCTCCGAGAGGGGTGGAAGAATTGAACCCGGGTCAGTCAGGTCAGTCGCTGTGCTATTACTCCAGCCCTATAAGGATATCCCTATAAGGATATCTCTGACATTTTTCAAAGAAATAGATCAAACACTCATGAAATTCATATAGAACAATAAACCCCATAGTTAAAGCAATCCTTAGGAAAAAGATGTGAGGCATCACCTTCCCCAACTTTAAACTGTTCTACAAAGCAGTAGTAATTAAAACAGCATGGTATGGATTAAAGACAGACCTGCTGACCAATGAAACAGAGTTGAATATCCTGGCACAGATGCTCAAATATATGATCACCTAATCTTTGATAAGAGAGCAAGAAATATGAAGTGGAGCAAGGAAAGCCTCTAACAAGTGGTGCTGGGAAAACTGAACAGCTACCTGCAAAAAAAAAAAAAAAAGAACTCTGACCTCTACAAAATTCAGATTAAAATGGATTTAAAGACCTCAACATTAGACCTGAATCCATAAGGTACACAGAAGAAAACATAGGCAAAACTCTCTATGACATTGAAACTCAAGGCATCTTCAGAGATGAAACACTGCTGACTAAGCAAGTGGAAGCAAAGATTAACAAATAGGACTATACTAAACTAAGAAGCTTCTGTACCTCAAAAAAAAACAGTGACCAAGATACAAAGCCAGCCCATGGAATTGGAAAAACTTTTCACTCAATACCCATCTGATAAAGGGTTAATATCAAAGATGCACAAGGCACTGGTAGAACTCTACAAGAAAAAATATATAACCCCATCAAAAAATGGGAAAAAGAAATGAACAGAAACTTCCTCAAAGAAAAACTTTGAATGGCTAAAAGGCACTTGAAAAAATGCTCTACATCACTAACCATCAGGGAGACGCAAATCAAAACAACAATGATCTATCATCTCACACCACAGAGACTGGCACACATCCAAAAGAACAAGAACAACCATGGCGCAGACATGGGGAGAAAGGGACCCTCATTAATTGCTGGTGAGGATACCAACTGGTCCAGCCTTTCTGGAAAATAATACGGACATTTCTCAAAGAAACTAGAAATTGAGCTCCCATTTTACCCAGCAATACCACTTCTGGTAATATTCCCCAGGGGTTCAAAAACACAAAGCAGAAACACCATCTGCACTCCTATGTTCATTGAGCACTATTCACAATAATCAGAATCTGGAAACAACCTGAGTGTCTAAGAACAGACGAATGGACAAAGAAACCATGGTACATCTACACAATGGAATACTACAGAGACGCTGTTAGGTCTGTGTAGTATGAGGTCACAAAATTTACCTATAAATGGATGGGCTTGGAGAGTATCATGCTGAGAGAAATGAGTCAGAAGGAGAGGGACAGATATAGAATGACCGCATTCATTTATGGGATATAAAAAAATTTTTTTAAACAGTATGAAACTAATATCAAAGATCAGAGAAAACCAGAAGGACTGGTCAATGGCTGGAAATCACCACAAGGGTGTGGTGGGTGGAGGGTAGTTAAGATAAAGGAGGATCCATTATGACAATGTCAGTTGGAAATGATCACTCTGAAGAGGAACTAAGTGTTGAAAGTAGGTTTAGGGATATCATGATAATCTTTCAGCATCTGCATTGCAAACCATAATGTCTAAAATGAAAGGGAAAGAGAAAAAGAGAGAGAAGAGAGGTGCCTGCTATAGAGGCAGGGGGGGTGTGAGGGAGCTTGGAGGGATGGGAGGGAACCTGGGGACACTGGTGATGAGAAATTACACTGGTGGAGGGATGGGTGTTGGAACACTGTATGACTGAAATCCAATCATGAACAGCTTTGTGAAAAAATAAATGAATATAAAAATAAAATAAAATAAAATAAAACAAGTGAACTGAGATTAGCCTCCCACATAGTAAAGGTCAAACAATATGCATGGGTCATATGCCTCCCATCAGAAGATTCAGATTAGACGTCTGGTTTCAAATCCAAAGAAACAATAAGCAATCCCAAATCTCCAATGTTACTAAGTATATTTCAGGAAGAACTGTTACTCTGAATATTTTTAAATGATGCCATACATGTTCATTTACCTTGAAGAACATTCTCTCTGCATTTATCCAGGTTCCACAAAATAACACAATCTTGGGATGCAGAACATATGAGAGGTGCATTCTCTATGTTGCCAAATGCCACAGCAGTAATTGGATGAGAGTGTCCTCTTAGAGTAAGAAGCTAAAGAGTTAACAAAAAAATAGATTATAGGTAACATATTAAAAAACAATAGAATATAGCAACCTCAAACCTAAGACATTAAATGGAAAAGATTTTTCATTCCCAGAACCTACCAGAAGTGGGGCAGCTGTATGAGAAGAAGAACAAGGTTTAACGAAAGAGAATACTCAGGACACTGGGAAAGCAAGACAGGTGTAAGAAACTTCTGGAAAGAGGTGGAATGGGGAGAGGCTGCCCTGCCACATATGTAAGGAGGTTTTATGGAGCACCCGGATGTGAGTTTCCAAATAAAAGGCATAGGCACACAGAACTCAGGCATTTGGTGGCCAAGAGCCGCCTCTCCAGGTTAGACAACAGCGGTGATGGACAAAGGACCCAGGGAACAGAGAAACTGGGCATGGGCCCCAAGCGGGTCAGTAGTCAGTTTATTTCTCTCTCCTCCCCGGCATATTCCAATCTCTCCCCTCATGGCGCAAACATAGTCATAGTTTTGGTCACAGTTCCAGTCATCATAGTTCTATCATCCTAGTCTCCTTGTAGACCTCAAAGTCCTCTACCTTATTATCTCTTTCCTTGTTTCATCTAGTCTCATAGTCCCCTACTTCCAGTCATCGTCGTCATCTAGTCCTCCTTCTAGTCCTCAAAGACTTCAATGTCCCAAAGTCTCAGTTCTCATCTTTCTAGTCATTGAATTTCTAGTCTTTGTCTAGTCCTCAGATCTCAAAGTCCCAAAGTTGCCACTGTCCTCCTCTTGTCTCCAATGTCTCATTGTCAACTTTCTAGTTCTTTCTTACCCCTTACAGCATAGTTATAAAGACATCATGAAGGGTGGAAATACACAAAGAAGGGGGGTGAACATTATCATAACAACAAACAGAGGTAAAGTCACTCCTTCAGGAGATTAACTCAAGGACAAAATCTCATCTGAGGAGATTACTCTAGATTACTAAGAGATCTGCTCAAGGGAAAAGTTCTATCCAGTGTGCATTGCTTTCTCCTTCCCTCAGCTAAGAAAAAGGTAAGATAAGAAGTGATCCATAGTAAATTTACTTCTTATAATATTTCTAGTCATTTTGCATGAACACAGCAAGAGATATGTTAAGCTTAAAGGTTTACTCCTCCTATGGACATCTCACTATATATTCCAGACAGCAGTCCTCAGGCCAGGTTAGTCTTCCCTAACCCCAGAAGCAAGGTCCTCATTCAGTTACTTCTTTTTGGGTCAAGATAGAGTTTGGGGGGCTGGAGAGATAGCACAGCAGGTAGGGCGTTTGCCTTGCACGCGGCCGACCCGGGTTCGATTCCCAGCATCCCATATGGTCCCCTGAGCACCGCCAGGTGTGACCCAAAAACCAAAAAAATAAAAATAAAAATAAGAGTTTGTTCCATGACCATGATCTTAACTTATTATACTTAGGGCGCTTAGCTTGTCTCCTTTTGATGCCAGGGTAGCTTACAGCTTGCCATGGGTCCATCCACTCCCTTCGTCGGGACCCTAGGAACTGAGGGCAACTGAGTAGTGCTAGGAATTAAGGGCAACTGAGGCTTTAGTCAAGTAAATATGGATGCCTAGGAGTAAATATTATTTTGGAGTCAATTAACTCCCATGTTACAAAGCACAGCATGAACTGTCTTCCTGTGTCTATATAAAAAGGACATTGCAGGGGGTATGGTGCAGCCAGCAGGTCAATCTATACCTGTGAGACGAATGCATCAGCAGCCTGATGGTGCCTTCAGACATCCAGATACCCCAAAATTACTGCTGTGCCCTTCGCCAGACCCCAAAAACTTGAGGCAAAGTTTACCAAGAAAGTAAATAGCCAAAAGTTAGGTATGTGGGAGACACACCCACAAACCACCTCTGGCTCAGCTATATAATTGGAGGCATGGCCTCTCTGGTTCCTAATGGAACTGCTTAATGGCCATGATCCCAGAGACTCAGAAACAAATCTCGAAACCCAACAGCTTTTGGCAGAAATGCGTCCAATTCCTGCAGTAGGTTATAGGCACTGGGCCACCCCAGGTGGGAGTATGTTTCATACCTTGACCTGTTTCCCCTGGTGGCCCCAGGGCCGTCATCCTCCAGAGCCCATTGGACAGTCAGGTTTGGGCCCACAGTGACGAGACACGTGGGGCCTCATGGGATGGGGATGGAGCCGGCCCTTTCCTCCCCATCCCAATGAGACCCCGAGTTGCTGCTCACGAACGGCCTCTCTGGCTCCTGATCAAGATGCTTAACGGCCATGATCCCAGAGACTCAGAAACAAATCTCGAAACCCAGCAGCTTTTGGCATAAATGAGTCCGGACCCTGCAGTAGGTTACTGTCACCGGGCCAACCCACGGAGGAAAGGGTGCTGTCCCTCCACCTCCTCCCCCTTGGCAGCTCGGTGGATGCCATCCACCAGAGGCCATTGGACAGTCAGGTTTGGGTCCTCAGTGACAAGACACACAGGGCCTCACGGGATGGGGGTGGAGCCGGCCCTTTCCCCTCCTCCTCACTCCAACGAGACCCGGAGTCACTGCCAACGAATGGTCTCTCTGGCTCCTGATCAAGCCGTTAAATGGCTATCATCCCAGAGACTCAGAAACAAATCGCGGAATCCAGAGCCTACTGGCAGAAATGCGTCCAGTCCCTGCAGTAGGTTACTGGCGCTGGGCCACCCCAGGTGGGAATAGGTTTCGTGCCTTGGCCTGTTGCCCCTGGTGACCTGGTGGCCACCATCCTCCAGAGGCCACTGGACAGTTAGGATTGGGCCCACCGTGACAAGACACATGGGGCCTCACGGGATGGGAGTGGAGCCGGCCCTCTCCTCCCCGTCCCAATGAGACCCCAAGTTGCCGCCCACGAACGACCTCTCTGGCTCCTGATCAAGCTGCTTAACAGCCATGATCCAAAAGACTCAGGAACAAATCTCAGAACCCAGCAGGTTTTGGCAGAAATCCCTCCAGATTTAATTGTCAAAATTTCGGAATTTCAAAATTACGTGGCCATTACTGCAATCACACGACACGTTATTCATAACCAGCAATAGAAAACAAATCGTCTCCTGTTGCCTTTTCAGCAGATCTGAGTGTTGGGGTAAAATCCCAAATAATAATGGTGGGTCTGGTATCAAAATATTGAATGTAATCAAAGTAGAGAGAGAGAGAGTAATGTGAAAATCACCTGCCCCTTAGGTAGAAGGAGGGTGTGGGATGGGGGTATGCTGGGGTTTTAGGGGGTGGAGAATGGGCACTGGTGAAGGTACGGGTGTTTCATTATGTTACTGAGACTAAACCTGAAAGCTCTGTAACTGCTCTCACGGTGATTCAATAAATAAAATTATAAAAAATGAAAAAAATAAATCAAGTCAAAAAATGGTTTATTGCTAAATAAACCATGCAAATGACATAAAAGAAAGAGAAAAGCAATATAGGATTATTCATGCCTGATGGAATTGAGTATGCCTCAGGAGCACTGTTGTGGGAGTGGCTCAATAAACCTAAGCTCCCTGAGGGAAGAGCAAGGATAACCCAGTGATATCCAACACCTGGATACTGGAAGTCAGCAGAAATGCACAAGCAGAGGAAAATGATGACCATGTTGCTTTCCAAGAATATTTTACTTCTGCAGGTATAGAAGAGAGGAGAGGGAGATGTGGGAGGCTGTGAAGACTATGGGAGTGAATGGGAAACTCCAAAGAAGATACAAGAACAATGTAAAATAAGGCAGCAGGATGGGTTTAGGCAAGATATCCCTTGATTAAGATACTCAATTCATTATCTTCTACCCAAGGGCTTGTAGGATGAAGGAAAGGAAAAAAACAAAGATAAACACATTACAAGTGGAGGCCCTGGGCAAATGATGCAACAGAATCAGGAAATCCTGGTGATCTGTGTCATAGTAAGCTAAGGTGCTTACAAGATGATACATTGAGAGCAGGTAGTCACTCCTAATGACAACTCTCACTCGGAAACAACAGGGCTGGTTCATCTGTACCAACCCTCCTAGTGAGAATGACAAGAAAAAGTAAAAGGTACCAGAGAGATAATACAGTGTGTAGGGTATCTGCCTTGCACATGACCGACCTGGGTTAGATCCATGGAATCCCATATGGTTCCCTGAACACCACCAGGAGTAATTCCTGAGCATTTCCAGATGTGGTTCAAAAGTCAAAAATAAAAATAATAATAACCCTCTCAAATACATATATATTCCTGTGAGGTACCAGAACATAAGGAAAGCAAGGTGACAAAGGGAAAGGACAGTCAGAGCAGTACTCCCCATTACAACACTCCTTCCAGGCAGAGGGATAATCCCAGGGAGGCAGCTTAGAAGCAGAGTTTTCTGTTAAGGGACTGAAGCACAAAAGTGGTGTAAATAAATGCATCATTTTTCACATATGAACAAAAGAATCTTTTGGGGAGAAAGATAAAGTACCCCATCACCTTACGGCACACCTGAAAAGAGATAGCCTGAAAACAGCCTTAAGATAGCCTTCCTAAGTATCATGCTAAGTGAAATGAGTCAGAAAGAGAGGGACAGACATAGAAAGATTGCATTCATCTGGGGAATATAAAGTAACAAAATAGGAGACTAACACCCAAGAATAGCCGAGATAAGTACCAGGAGGTTCACTCCAAGGCTTGGACGCCAGCTGCACATGCTAGGGGAAAAGGCAGCTCAGATAAAGAAGGGAGCACCAAATAAAGGGTGTTGGAATCCTCCCAGGATGAGAGATGCGTGCTGAAAGTAGAATATAGACCGAATATGACTGCCACTAGTGCCTCTTTTGCAAACCACAGCACCCAAAAGGAGAGAGAAAACAAAAGGGAATAGAGACCTGCCACAGGAGTGGGGTGGGATGGGGGGTTGGGGGGTGGGAGGGATATTAGGAGCACTGGAGGTGGAGAATGGGCACTGGTGGAGGGATGGGTACTCAATCATTGTATAACTGAAACCCAAGCACAAAAAAATTGTAAGTCTACAACTGTACCTCATGGTGTTTCACTAACAAAA